GGCAGCACAGGTGCAGAACGCTGCGTACTATCCCTGTAGACGGACCTAAAATGCTCAGCAAATAACTCAGGCACAGACTTCAAATCGCTCTCGTGATTATCCAGGACAATCTTCGACTCGATATGCCTCCCAGAACGTGAATAAATGTACTTCCAGAATTTCTTCGGATTATTGACAAGATCTGATTCCACTGAGCAACGATGAGCCTGGCGGTCGCGATCCAGGACCGTCTTACATTCCTTTCTGCAGTTCTTGAATTCCACCTCCCACTTTAAAAGGCCACTTTTCTTAAACTTCCTGTGAAAGAAGTCCTTTCTTTTCAGTAGTGTTTTTAGCTCACTGGAAAACCAGTTAGGAAAGCGAGATTTAGTAACTGTCCTTAACGGAATAAAAGTATCCATGGCCTTCCGAACAGTTTGCGTGAAGAGCATGACCTGGTCATTCACATCAGGCGACTCCAAGATCAATGCCCAATCAAAACTCGTGAGGTAATGATGCATCCCGACATAGTCCCCTGCCGACAGATTATATGAGGTGTGCGGCGGGGAATCACTAGAATGAGCACGAACAGAAGAATTCTCGAAAGAAAGTACTATATCAAGTGCTGGATGATATGTATCCTGAGGAAATAATAATAATAATAATAATAATAATAATGCGTATTAAAATATATCAATAATAATTTATTGGCATCTGTTTAGCGTTGGAAAGATTTTAAGGGTCCGTCAAAGCCTTTAATGGCTTGTGGGACTTGAACCCCGCAATTGAATTAAGTAAGCAGGATATGATGACAGATAGTGATGACATTAATAATGGTAGCTAGTTAGAAAAAATGATGAAGTCGCACAAAAGATCTAAATTATACATGATAAACGTGTGAAACCGCACAGAACACATTGAAAGAAAGACGGCAAAACAGAAAACAAATACCCAAAAATGTCATAAAATCAAAAATTGTAAAAAAAAAGTAAAAACTACGAAGTTTTGAACAGTATAACAGTCACACTGGATTGAAAGCTTGTTTGTCTTGCTAAGAGAAAGTTCTAGTAGGCATAGCACAACTTAGAATAGCAGAAAACTTGCTGTCACCGCTACAAGCACGACACACGTCAGATACAAAAAAGATATACCATACAAACATTCATAGCCTAAGTAGTTCAGCAATAGCTACAAAAGCAAAGAAATTTAGCGCAATGTTCGCAGGCTTTCTTTCGGCTGTCTTTTGGAGTCCAGCCCAAGACACGAGTCTGGAAGTCTATTAAAATCTCCGGAACATAAAAGAAACGCATTCTCTTTCCATATTCGGTGTCCACTCGAGGTATTGAAAACCGCTGGCCGTTTCTTAGCGAGCGCTGAATAATGCGATCGATTTTAAAAGAGCTAGCCCAATAGTGTTTCGCTATCACACATCTTTCAAAAAGGGTAAGAAATCGCGGGGAAATCTAACCAACGCAATAAATCCTCGTTTGGTGCATCCGTCGGTGGTGTACGCAACTCCACGTAAAATTCCTTTTAGGATATTGTCAATTTTAGTTTTCCACATTTGGAAACAATTTGCATACACTGTGATACCATAACCTGGTACATCCTATGCCCAAGCATTGGCAACCATTTTTCGTACTGAGAGAAGTATAAACATTTTTGTGGAATATAAGAGGCAAGATACACCTCGCACTTTATCAGCAATGTAGGTAAGATGGGATTGCAGGATAGATCACCATGAAAAAATATACCTAAGTATTTGATTACATTTACATACTCGATGGGGGTACAACGGCAATTAATACAATTCGACGAATGGAGCGAAAATGGAATATTCAGACATTTATGTTTCAAAGGATTAGTGAAACATTCAAGCTTTGTTTTCTTTGTGTTAATTTTGATGAGATTGGCATAACACGAATTCATTACATTGGTAGGAGCAGAATGCAATGAAATAATTGCACTGTGCAGATTTATATGTGTGACACTAAAAAGGTTTCAACTCACATGCAAAGCATATTTTCACCATATCTTTTACATGCAGATGAAATAAAAGTGGCGAAAACACAGAGCCTTGAGGAACTCCTACGTTCAAATTCACTGCAGAGCTTCAGATATTACAAATAGAAAGTTGCTGTGTACGATTTGATAGAAACTTTGGAATAACCGGAATAATAATAATAATAATAATAATACTAATAATAATAATATAAATAGTTTTATTTGCCCATCAGGAATGCAATGTTATATGTATGGGCACACCAAAGCCAGCTAAAGGCTTGTGTGATGACGCCCTAAAAAATAAAAAAATAAGATCGGCAAAATGCAAAAGGAGAAAAAAAAACGAAAAAAAAAAACAAGGAAACACGACGAAGCAAAGGAAAACATTTTCAGGACAGAAAGCAATAGATAAATGTTATAAGAACTATTCGACCAATGTAAATGAAAGTATAATCAGCGACAAGCAGAAATGTCGCTAATCATAGCAAAAAAAAAAGTAAATAAAAACTAAACAATTTCAGCAGAACTATACTGAAGGGGAAATACGACGTTGGGAAAACATACCAAGGAAAAGAAAGGTAGAAGGAAAAGTCATAACTGTCATCAGACAGAAAAAAAAAACAGTGAGTGAATATGCAAATTAATGCACATATAAAACAAACAAAAAAAAAACGAGAAAGCAAAATGAAACACAATTACAAAATGACACTACATGGCACGAGAAAAGCAAATAATTGCAAAAAAAAAAAGAAAACAACAGAAGACATAGAAATGTTAAGAATTATTGGGGAAGAAGGGGCCAGAGAAAAAAAAAATAATAGCCCTGCAAATTCACTATGCACACACTGGTACTAGGCTTGGGGCACTAAGTAATATCCAATTCAACACATTTCAGTTCCTTCTTCAATGCCTTCAGTGAGGTGATGTCCAGGATTGAGTCCGGCAGAGCGTTGAATAAACTCGGAACATAGTAATCGCGCGAGCACTTGCCATAACGGGTCCAACAACACGGCACCTTGAAACGATGGGAGCATCGCTATGAGCGAGACGGAAGTGACGGTGTTTTGAAATCCTTATTCCAAAAGTTGCGTGATATAACAGTTTGAATATACAGTGAACGGAGGTTTGGCAATTGGAGAGCTTTAATAATATCCCCAGTTGTTGATAAAGGTGCATTATATGCAACGCTAGTGAGTATTCCTCTCAGTAGGGAATCAACTTTGGTTTGCAAGCGACCAGAACAATTTCCAAAAACGGTTACGCCGTACCGAGTGACACTGTAAGCAAGTGCGTGACCTATCAGCAGCCTCACACCAACTGGTACAAAAACTCTAGTGTTGTAAAGCATGCAGGATACAGCTCGTATTTTGCTACATAAGTATGAAATATGTGTGTTCCCCGACATATCAAAATCAAAATAAACACCTACGTATTTACCATGATTAATTGACTCAATTGGTCTACATGCACATGGATCACATTTAGATCGGCGAATAAGAAGCTTTACATTAGCTGGGTGGCTTTTGAGAGGATTACGAAAATAAACTAGCTTTGTTTTAGACTTATTAATGTCCATCATGTTTTGAGCAAACCAGTCCATTATAAGGGTAGCATTTTCCTCAAGTGTTTAGAAATAGTCATGGAAATTAATATGAACCGACACAAGAACGGTATAATAATAATAATAATAATAATAATAATAATAATAATAATAAGTTTTATTTGCTCATCAGGAATGCAATGTTATATGTATGGGCACACCAAAGCCAGCTAAAGGCTTGTGTGATGACGCCCTAAAAAATTAAAAAAAAAACAATAAGATCGGCAGAAATGCATAAGTAAAAAAAACAAAAAAACACGACGAAGCAAAGGAAAACATTGTCAGGACAGAAAGCTATACATGCATGTCATCATAACTATTAGACCAATGGGAATGAAAGTATAATCAGCGACAAGCAGAAATGTCGCTAATCAGAGCAAAAAAAAAGTAAGAACTAAACAGGACTAAACACGTGACTTTGAGGTGACCTTGGGAGGGGTCACGTACCTCGGGGGTCACGTGACCTTGGGACGGTAACGTGACAGGGGGGCTCACGTGACCTTGGGGTGACCTTGGGGTTAACGTGACCTTGGGGAGACCTTGTTTACGCCGACGCCGACGGCGACGGCGTAAACAGTATCTTTTTGGTGCAAGCGCTGAAACGAAGCCTCCACCCGACTACCCCAATCTCATTTGCAAAAAATGAAAGACGCTTGTAAATATCTGTAATTTGAAACTAGAGCGCAGCTCTTGAGGAGGAGGACTAAAGGGTACGGAGGGGAAAGTACGCCACTCCTCCCATCCTCCTCCTCTCCTCCTGCCGCTGAACTTGTTGATGGGTGACGTGACACATAGTCTTGACATTATTTTTGCCCACTAAATTTAGCGGGGAAATTGAATTGGTGTTGAGATCACATTACGTCAATTTGCCCGCTAAATTTGCCGTGTAAACATTCCCGCTAAATTTGCCAGGTAAACATTCCCGCTCTATTTAGCCGCAAAATTTTCTCGCTAAATTTGGCGGAAAAATATCGCCACTAACTTTAGCAGGACAATTTCCCCGCTAAATTAAAGGAAAACTTTACCGCTAAATATAGCGGAAAAATTTAAACGCTAAATTTAGCGGGAAATTTTTCCCGTTCAGTAAAATGGAAAAATTTCCCCGTTAAGCAAAAGGGGAAAATTTCCCCGCGAACTATAGCTGGGAAACGTCTCATAATGCAACGTGCGCGGTTAGGCCGACGCCGCTCAACTCGGAAACGGCCGGGCGTCTAAGAGCTGTGCTCTAAAAGTAGATATCAGTACCTCTTTTGGGGTTGATCTTTTATCATGCGCGTTTCATTACACAAGAATTGCTGTGAAATTAAAAAAACAAAAAACAAAAAAAAAAAAAACGACTACCATCAAACGAAGTTGTTCGAACGCAGATATTTCTGTTCTAATTGTTATAAAATCATAATTGCATTCTCTTTTTCAGAATCCCTGCACCGACGAAGAGCTAAAACACCTCCAACAGTGGGCTAAGCAGTTGGAAAACGAGAAAGAAAGAAATAAAGGCTAATTATGCAATGCCTAACAAGGGAAGCAAATTTTTTTTTTACGCCGACTGCAATAAGTATTGTCATGTGCCTTTAATCCAAATCTATCATTTATAAAAAAAAAGCATATCTTCTTTTTTTGTTTTGTTTTTCACGTTGTGATGATCAATAACTACAAGCTGGACTGTATTGCGGCATGCGCTACTGATGGGCTGTATTGCCTATTGCGCTACATATCGTTTAAGTAATTAGCGTTCGTAATTCAAGGGAAACATCCAAGGCAATGGCGAATTCAAAATGTCAAAGTGTCTGCTTGAGAAATCTGGAGCATGGCATCGGCGAACCACAAATAAGGAAACTAACTAAAAAAACAAAAGGACAAAAATATAATTAAAAAAATGTGGCTGGATAAATGGCTGCTTGGGAACTCGGGAGCTAGCTTTAAAGTAATTCGTGGACTTCAATTTTTATTCATTTACGTTTCAGTATACAGAACAGTGTCTGGGATAACCTGTTACGAACAACGCGCTGTATTTCATTTCTGGCATGTTTGGAGTGGAAAGATGTTCTAAATTCCGAAAAACGATTGTTTCTTGAAAAATTCAATTTCTAAAAACTTAACCCTTCATTTGGTAACTTTACCACGTCAGTAATATTCGTAAACCACGTTTCTGAAAGCATAATTATATGAGACAAAAATTTGAATTGATGAAGCTCGTCTACTTTATTTCGCGTTGATCGAGCGTTAAAGGGACCATGAAGGCAATTTAATTTTTTTAAAGGTTTTTTCGGAAGCATTGGGGTCCTGGCATGCCACACAATTTTTTCTAGAACGTTGTGACTCTTATTTCTGTACCTGGAAATAAATTTGCGGAACCGAAACAAACATTCAGATTTCTTCCCTTTTTCGCCTCTGGAAAGAGAAGTGACGTCAGGGAGCACTGTCGGCATCGGTAGGATTTAGTGCACAATCAGTGTGGTTCCCGTGGTTCGCTCTAGTGCACGGCGGTCTGTGAAGAAAACCTAGAAGAAATTGACGACAACGCCGCGCTCGCAAACGAGTTTGAGCTCCCGTTCAGCGACCTCACGCCGACTGAACGGGGGATGCTGATAAGGACGCAGAACTCTGGATTGGCGACCGATGCAGCAATGCTGCGCATCGCTGCATCGGTCGGCAGTTTATGCAAACTAACGTCGCCCGATCGACCAGACGTCTTTAGCCGACCTTCTGCGCAACCTACTGCTGCACATAAACGCGGCATGATTGGTGAGACACCAGTTCGCAAAGCGAACATGAGACGACGCACGAAACCAAAACCAAAAGTCCGCCGCCCCCAACGCTCGTACCTCTTTTTCTTTTCTTTGTCCATGGTTGCTCGATGCTTGTTACGCGCCCGAGGTAGCAGTGCGGGATGCATTCAACAAGTGACAAACGGAGCGATCGCTTCAGATTATGTTTTTGCACACGGTATGAAACCTATTAATTCCCAACTACAACTTCAAAATGTTATACAACGTTCAAATAAACTTTTTTCATCACATCTCACCACCGAAATCGAAACCAAGAGGGCGTCTATCGTTTGAACCAAACGCCAGACGAGGAGCCCGTTGTCGTCACGCTTCGGCGCACTTCAGTTCACCTTTCTGCCTCCGCCTCGGTGGGGTCTCAGGCATCGTACCCGGCGCTAGTATTACCGCGCCTTTTTGCTCGATTGGTGCGGCACCCAAACTTCTGTTCGGGCTAGAACTTGGTCAACAGTATCTGAGACATGCCTGACATCCATTTCGATCGTCGAATAAAACTTTGAAACTGCCTTCATGGTCCCTTTAATGTGGAAACACTTTAAAAAAAACTGCAATATTCATTTCCAAAAAAGTTTTTCACATTTGATGGAAGAAAGTAGTCATCATCTGACGAAAAATGTATAGCACCCATTTTATTATTCAGCAATAAATTGGCGTTGTCATCCATTGCAAAAAAAACTAAATAAGGCTGACATGAAAAGCATCATACAAGTTTCTGTAAATCATCTGAAGACTTAATCAGGGGCTCACTCTCATGAGGTACTCCTCCAGAGCGAGACGTTGTGCAAGAAGGTGTATAGGGACTCTTTCGTAGGTTTATTTTTTGTGCTTTGTTTTTTCTCTGATTTAAGAATTAAAGTTTTGTTACAAACCCCCTAGAACTAGAACGACACATAAATCTATGTACGCAAAACGACTGTATTTTAACATTTGTTCAGTGGGATTTCGTACCTAAAATAATCATTCACGGCAGTTTGCTCTGTCCTTCATCAGCAGTGTGTTACCGTGTCTGGTACTTTCACATGCAACGAAACAGCTAGCGTTTCTCCTCCTCCTAATATTTGACGTCCCTCCTCCTCACATTTGCAATAAGATAAATGATAATGAAGTGGGCGGTTATGCTCGAAAAGCTCTTCTTGCTTCTACAAAATGAACTTTCTGCTGCTCCAATAGCTGCTCCAAAATGAGTACGACCATTCAAATCGCTGCTCTTATCACCTGACCCCGCTCTTTGCACGTGGGTATGGGCATGGGCAGGAGCGTGATGACATGGCAAAACAGACACGTATAACTGTTTTAACGAGGACGTAGCTTCCACCGGCAGTCTCAGCTTAGAGGTGAACGGAGTATGGTAGCTGCAGCACCAATTATCGAAGTCCGCCATTGTTTGGGCACACATTCTGGCCGATGTTGCTTGATGTTAGAGAGAAAATTGCCTCATCTCAATCAACCTGATGCGAAATTGTTTGTTAGTCTGACGACACTGAGGGCGTTGGTATTTTAATGTTAGCAAGCGTTGTCGGTACTGAAGCGCAGTGGACGCATTGGATACAACCGTACGGACAGTGTGCGATGGCGCGGCAGCTGTGTTTTTCGCCTTCCGACCATGGAACGTGGACGAACAGTTTAAGCAACTTACTGCAACTGTCTGACGAAACGTTCGGAGGCCTATGCACACGCTGGCGACAACCCGCAGTGTGTAAGCTTCCACAGTGAAAGCGTAAGACTTGCTGCACTGCTTCGACGAGGTTGTTGCAGCGTGCAGAGCATCAGACAGTTGCGGTAGGTTGCTTAAACTGTTCGTCCACATTTCATGGTCACAAGGCGTAAACCACAGCTGCTGCGCACACTGCCCGTGTACGGCTCTCTCCGGTGCCTCCAACGTGCTTTGGTACCGACGACGCTTGCCAACAGGAAAATGGCGACGCTCTCAGTGTTGTCAGATCACCAAGCGATTCCGCATAAGATCTATTGAGCCTATTTGACTGGTTGCCATCTTTTTTTTTCTTTTTTTAAACATGGCATATATCGAAAGCTTTAGGCACAGCGACTCATACCAGGTTAATGAAAAAGTAACCGGAATGAATTTCTGAAAGGTGGGCCGTTCGTAGAACCAGCTTCCTCAGCTAGCAGCGTTTAGCAGCACCCCTTCCGATTGAATTTGCCGACTGGCATTGTCTGCTATGATTTTTTTTTCCCAGCGCTTCAAAATCATTTCTTTTTTTTTTCTTTTTTGCAATCTCTGTAAGAAACAGCATGCGGCCGTGAAACATTGTTTTAGGAAAAACTGCCGGAAACTCTTATAATGTTTAAAAGAGCCTACAATGAAGATGCTAATATAAAATCTCAAGTCTATGAATGCTTTTCTCGCTTTAAGACCAGTGACTTATTGATCGACGAACTAACCTCTTTCACGGTGACCCTCAACCTCCTCAACTGATGAAAACATCGACAAATTTGGCCATTGTTCTCTCCGAGTTTGTTCCTGCCTGTGAAACTATTAATCAGGTGTTTTACCTGGGAATTTTACGACACTTGCGAAACTCAGGAAGGCAGAAATACCCCGATGTGAGGGAAAGGGGGAATGATGGTCCTATCACAACAATGCCCCAGCATACACAGCCCTTTCAGTGCAACAATTTTTTAGCAAAAATGGCGATGGCACCGCTTCTCCACCTCCCGTATTCTCAGGACCTCGCTCGACCCGTGTGACTTTTTTCTGTTCGCTGGTATGAAAACTTTTGAAAAGAAATTGTTTTGTGAATGTGTAAGGTCCTTCAAGTCAGACATTGCAAGAAACAAAAAATGATTTTGAAGCGCTTGGGGGAAAAATTCACAATGTGCCGCTAGATCCTTAGCAGACGACACCGGTCGGCAAACTGACTCGGGAAGAATGCCATTTAGCGCTACTAGAGGCGGATGCTGGTACTACGAACGCCTAGCCTCCTGAAATTTATTCCAGTTACTTTTGGGTACCCCCTCATATTTTTTCTAGTGTTAAACTTCGGCTTTATGGCCCAGTATTTGGCTTGGTGTGAATCATATCCCTTTTTGTGTTATACGTATTTTCATTTTTTTTAATGGTAAAATGTCTGTGGTGTTGCATATTTTGATTACTTAATATGTTTGTAATGCATACATAACATTGTTTTTTGGTTAAATGTTCCCTGTTTTTATGTAAGTTTATTGGTTTGTTTCATATTCAAAGGTGCCAGCCAATACAAAAATAACCGATCTTGAAATATAAAAAAAATAAATAAATATGGATATATAAAAAAAGTCGTTTACCACTCCCTGTAACGCCGAATTGGAGCGCAGCTCTTGAGGAGGAGGAGGGGAGGGTACTGAGGGCCACGTGTTCTCGGGGGGGGGGGTCACGTGACCCCCCCCCCGAGGGCACGTGACCTTGGTGGGGTCACGTGGGGGCAAACACGTGCCCCCTCAGAGGTCACGTGACCTCGGGAGGGGGTCACGTGACCTCGGGGTGTCACGTGACCAAACTTTTCTGCTAGATTTAGCGGGGAAATTTCTTCCGCTAGATCTAGCGGGGAAAGTTTTCCGCTAGATTTAGCGGGGAAATTTTTTCCGCTAGATTTAGCGGGGAAATTTTTTCCGCTAGATTTAGCGGGGAAATTTTTCCGCTAGATTTAGCGGGGAAAATTTTCCGCTAGATTTAGCGGGGAAATTTTTTCCGCTAGATTTAGCGGGGAAATTTTTTCTACTAGATTTAG